AAGGGACATAAACGTGCTTAACTTTAAGCACATGCTTACATACTCTGCTGGATAAAGGCCTTAATAAGGAACATGGCAGCCTATAATGTAGGCAAGAAATGGATGTAAGACACCCCTATGATTATCACCTTATTTGAACTTCTGTGCATGTCCAGCTGCTTTTGAACTTTTCCAAAGGTGTGCTTCGTCACAGCTCTGCTCTTGCTTTCCTAATGCTATTTCTGCCTGTGGGCACAGCTCTTCTTTGTAACCATTAATCTTTTCTGACGCTGCGTGTAATAGAGGGGCCTTGGGTGTAACCTAGCACAGCAGGGATGGGAGATATTAATAATGGCCGATGGTGCATTGAACTAAAATGGAATCTACAATTCATTTTGTGACAAGAAAAATGTAATATTAAACAGTGCAATGGAATGTCCGTCCATTTCGTATAACCCATCGTAATTCACTGCTGTGCAGAGCCCAGCCCAAAGCCTAAGATCTCAAAACAGGGCTCAAATGGGAGTTAAGTGGTCCATATAGGCCTTGGGCTGGCTCTCTGCTTTGGGTGACATTCCCTGTCTATGCAAACTACTTTGGATACTATAATCATGGGTTCCAGTACCAAAATCCCGGAGCCTTTTCTCTGATTCTCATCCAAAGTATTGCCAGCTTTTATGATTTTACAGCAAATCTTCCAATATTTCTAGCCTGGGACTTAGGAGACCTGGCTTCAGTTCCCTGTTCTGCTACAGACTCCCTGTGTGACCTGGGCAGGGCTGGCTCTGCACCACTCTGCCGAAACAACCCCCCCGAGCGCCACGCCGCCGTTAGAACCCCCCCGAACGCCGCGCTGCCCTGCTGAAACAACCCCCTCCCGAGCGCCACCCTACCCCGCTGTAACAACCCCCCCAAGCGCCGCGCTGCCCCGCTGAAACAACCCCCTCCCAAGCGCCACGTCACACCGCCGTAACAACCCCCCCGAGCGCCACCCTGTCCCGCTGTAACAACCCCCCCCCCCGAGTGCCGCCCTGCCCTGCCG